GGAACTTTAATACAATTAGGAAACAATACAGGAAAGGCAAAGAATCTAGTTTCTGAATCAAGCACCCAAAGTTACCCGTCCCCTCATGGGTAAAACTCCATCCAAATGGGGTCGGCCCAGAGCAAGGCCCCAAAGCCTGCCACAAGTCTAAAGCATCTTCCAGTGGGGACCCACAGAAAAGGGTCAGAAACAACCAGACAACCCCGGAAGGAAAAGAGCAAAATCAAAATTAAGATAAAAGCTGCCATTGTCACCTCCCCACGGGTCTCACCCACATCTGTGTCACCCAGTGCACAACCAAAAGGCAAGCGCAGTTTCTTCATGTGTCTCTCGGCTCCATGCGCCTCTTCCAGGTCTCCTGGCTCCATCCTGCTTCCTTCCTTCCTCAGTCTCTTCTGCAGCTTCTCCTCTCCCTGCTCAGTTCCACCCTCCCTCGGGTGGGGCAGGGAACCTCCCCCTTTGCTGGGGACCACCCTGTTACACTAGTGGGAAGTCCAATCAGGCGACTGCCCTTCCCCCTACCCGAATCATAGTAGGTGCCTGACCAGGCCAAATCAGTTCTCAGAGAAGCTGCAAGCTTCACTGGAGCTTAGTTCCTGATCCCCTTGAGCTATGCCCTTGGACCTCCCTTCTCCTCTTTCTTCGTAATGAGGAAGGGGTCTCTAGAGCCCTGGCTGGAAGCTGCTTTAGAAATTCAAAGATTTCAGCTACTTGATGGGAATGCATTTGAGGGAGGTCTCTCCTGGCTTCCCCTGTGCCTTCAAAGAGAAAGAGCTTTTTCAGAAACCCTGCATAAAGAGTTCAGAGGCTCTGGTCCCCGGGCCCTGAGGAGGTTTTTCCTCTGGAGGTGTTATGCAAATCTGGGTTAATAGAAGGGTGGATGAGTCTTTATTTCAAGCAAAGAAAGGCAGAGAGGAGAATAATAATACCCTTCACTTTGGGGCTATAAATACCGCAGTAAATAGGCCTGGAAGGGAAGGAGCAGGGCCTGCAGGGAGCTTGAATCTGTTGTGAGACCTGTGACTGGTTTGTCAGTGTTTTTTCTCTCAGGAAGGACTGGGATTGAGCGATTGTAACGGGTACCAATTAGGCCTGGGACATGTGTGTGTGTGTGTGGGGGGGAATGTCTCTGGCCCCCCATCTCAGGGCAACTGTGAGGTAGTTGAGAAGAAAGTGGCTCCTGCACTGCCAACTGACCAGCAGGGACCAAACACACACTACTGTCAAAGTTTAAAATATTAACATTGTAACAGGGTGGTCTCCAGGAATGGGGGAGGTTCCATGGGCTGCTCCTCTCCCTGCCCTGTAAAAACATGACAGCTACCTTTGGGGTGCAAAATGGTCACCAAATCCTGATGTGTGCCTCACCAAAGGGGTTTTGTTTTCTCTCAGAAGGAAAGAAAGCTAGAGGGTCACCTGACCTGAGGCAGAAGCTTCTGTTGACCCAAACCCGCCCCTGTCTGTGAACTCCTGACACTTTTATGGGATCGCATGTGTCCAACCTGGAAGGAACCCAATAAAATTTACTCAGATTGAATCTAATTGGTGCGGATGGCCTCAGTTTCCTCATCAATGAAATGAAACTTAAAATACCCACCTCTCCTCACAAGAGCACGGTTGATAAAAATGAGTATCAAGAAATAGTGTCCTTTAGTTCATTGGGGAGTCATAATATCTGCTGCCATTGCACCCCAACTTTTTGTTAACAGTTTACAGTCTTCATCTACCCTTTTACACAGAAAGCAACATCATGTGATATTAAAGCTCTGACCATGACACCAAAAGTGCAGCAGATGTAAAGAAGATCACCGAAGTGTAGACTTAATAAGTTTAAAGATCAGCTCCAAGATTGCACCCAACCTGTCATAGAACAGGGTAAGGGACATCCCCAAACCCCCAAGCCTGCCTGCTCTAAATAGGTTCTGCCATCCGCCACCTCAAGACAAACCATTCTCTAGTGTGTATAAGATCTTTCATGGAAAGGAAATTTAATACAATTAGTGTTCAACAAAGAAAGACAAAGAATAAAGTTTCCAAATCAAGCACCCAAAGTTATCCCTCCTCTTGTGGGTAAATGCCCCTCCAAATAGGGTTGGCTCAAAGCAGGGCCACTGAGTCCAAAAGCCTGCCACAAGTCTAAAGCACCTTCTGGGGAGACCCATAGAAAAGGGTCAGAAATAGCCAGACAAGTCTGGAAGGAAAAGAGCAAAATCAAAATCAAGATAAAAGCTGCCATTGTTAACCTACCCATGGGTCTCTAACCCACATCTGTTTCAATCAGTCCAAGGCCAAGAACCAAGTGTAATTTTTTTACATGTCTCTATGCTCCATGTGCTTCCTTCAGGTCTCCTTCTGGCTCCCCATCCTGCTTCCTTCCTTCTCCAGTCTCCTCTCCAGCTTCTTCTCCTCCCTGCTCAGCTCTACCCTTACTTGGGTGGTATAGGGAACCTGGAAACTTCCCTTTTCCTGGGGACCACCCTGTTACATATCCAGTCTGAAGATGCATGAAAGGGACCCAGATGTGGAGGGAGAAGAGAGGCATCTGTAGAGCCATTTCTTTGCAGAGATCTGTTGTGGTGCTTAGTTTTGCTTCAAAATTACAGAAGTGTGGCCTCCCTGGTGGCAAAAGGGTTAAGACACAGCACTATGAAGCTGTCCCACTATGAAGCTGTCTGCAGCCACTGCAGTATGTGTTTGATCCCTGGCCAGGGTGGTGACCCACATGGAGCAGCAGACCTCTCCTGACTCGCCAGCTGCTCCCCTCAGCAGTGTATTTCAGTCAATCTCCCTGTTCTGCTCCCCACTCTGTCTCTGGTGAATCCTCTCACCCCCCACACCTCTGGCCTGTAACCCAGTTCTTGTATGCATAAATAAATAACTCTTTTTTAAAAATTACAGAAGTGGAAATATAAAGATGTGAGACTGGCATCCATCTCGTTACTTCTCACCTAGTCACACCTTGTCTGAGAGCATGTGAGTGCTGACCATCTGCTAGGCACCAGCACTGTGCCAGATACTGGGGTTAGCAAGACCAACCTCCAGGCCCTAACAGGGCAATCAGCCCATCTTGCCAGGGACTAAGAAGGATGGCAGTTAAGAACCCCCCAACTCTTAATTTCCTGTTGTGGGAGAAGATAATGGCCTCCCCAAGATGCCCATATCCTAATCCCTGGAAATTATGAATGTGTTATTGTCACATGGCAAGGGGAAATCACGTTGGGCGCCAAGCTGTTATAGGACAGCCCCGATATTGAACGGGTTCCTGGCTGTGGGTCCTCACCCGTGCGCTTACAAGGGACTTACTAATACTCCACTACAGGCACACACAAAAGGTTAATAAAAGGTTTATTCACAAGGGAAAAGGAAATAAGGAAAATGTACAACTCAGGGAGAAAATAGGGAAATAAAGTCTTTAATGCGTCCTACCCGATCCGACGACCTGGAAACCCAAAGTCACTCAGAGCTGGCCAGACACTGCTAGCTGGTGGAGAGACAAAATGGGGGCCCCCCAAAGCCCACGTGTCTGCCTTTTATATCAACCTGGCTGCTTAACCCCACCCTCAGGTCCTAGCCACCTTCCCTTTGGTGGGGATGGGATTTGGAGTTCCCAGTGTCTTTGGCTTTGGCCTGGGGTGGGGGTGGAGTCCACAAAGCCTGCATGGAATTAGCTTTAGGACAGCCTTTTCCCCCTAACAAACTGACCTAAAATAAGAGTATACTGGATTACCCAGTTTTAGTAAGGTTAAAAGCTAAGCCCCCTGCGCCTGGCCCAGCAGGCAGGTTTGGAAGGATTGAAAAGATAAGGGAATAGATAAAGCTGCCCAGGGACAAGGCTATAAAACTGACCACCATGACCAGAAAAACCAGCCCAGCTCCAGGAATGCAGAAGCAGAGGCCAGAACATGCTTCTGTGTTAAAGACTAGCACCAAAGACCAGACATCCCAGTAGTTAACTGGTGCAAACTGATGCCCAAGTTAGAAAGCCTGTGCAAACAGTATAAGAGAGCCCTAATCCTCCTCAGGAAGCAGACTTCTCCCACTCTGCAGTAAACGTGTCTCTTCTGTTCTCCCTTCTGTCTTTGGTGAATTCTTTCACCCCTGAGCCTCTGGCTTTACCCTGATCTCCCCCACAACACCCAGATGGGCCCCAAATAATCACAAAGTCCTTGAAAGATGAAAGGGAGATTAAAAAGTGTGTGGTGTGTGAAGTCAGAGTGATATGAAGTGAGAAAGACTCAGCCAGCCATTGCTGGCTATGAGCATGGATGGGTCTGGGGCCATGAGCCGAGGAAAGTGGGCAGCTTCTGTGAACAGGTAAAGGTTAGAAAGCAGATTCCCTTCCCCCTCCCCCACCCTCCCCTGGCCTGGAAAGGAAAGCAGACTTGCTGACACTTTGATTTAATCCAGTTTGACCCTTTTGGACTTTGGCCCTCCAGAACAATAAAACATTAAAATCTGTGTTGATTTAAGCCATTAAAACCATAGTAACTTGTTACAGCAGCAAAAGGAAATTGCTGCTACCTGTGAAAGCTGGATTTATGTCTTGAATTGCTCCCCCTTGGTTTGGCTTCCAGCTCACAGCTCCACTTAAAGATGCAGTGAAGTTGCTTTTCACACAAGGGTTGGGTAGAAAAGTCAGCACGTAATGTAGAGAGTTTAAATTAACCTTGAACATGTCTTCAATTGCCTTCAAGCACAGGGATCAAGCTCCACTGATGGAGAAGCTAACACTCCCCAAGGTGCCCTCACCTCCAGGCACCTCACCCCGGGGGCACCCACACCCCAGGCACCCTCACCCCAGGCACAAGCTTACTAACTGGAAGGGCCAGCGAGACAAATCACACCCTTTGAATGTCTCTCTCTCCCTCCAGGCATATAATTAAATTTGCATAAATTCAAAGAGCAAATGCTGCAACGCCATTGTAATTTCAGATTTTGTTTTTATTTCCTGAGTTTGCTAAGGACGGAATGGAAAAACAAACCCTTCTATTTGTTTTGTGGCTTGTTCTCTTTTATTATGAAATACACCAAGCGTACAGAGAAGTGTGGAAAGAATATCCCACATCTGTGTGCACATCACCCACCTCTGACAAATTCTAACATTATTCTACATTTGATCAGGATTTAAAAAAATAAATTAAATGTTACATTTGCCATCAAAACCATTGTTTTTCTTATCTATACAGATACCAACTCCCACCCCCTTCCTCTATACCCACAGGAACAGTTCCTATTCCTGATTTTGGTATTTATAGCATTCCTATACATGCTTTTAAATGATAGAAATGATCCCTGAAAGTATAATCTTTTTGTGCATGCTTTTATAACTCTGTTATCCAGATCTGTGTGTACCATAAAATATCAATTTACATGTTTAGAAAGATTACATAAATGGCATACTCCAAGTGCCCTTCTGCTCCCCCACCCTCCAGTTCAACATGTTGCTGAGATAGATCCACATTGCTACCTGTAGCTCTGCTTCTTTCTTTTTAACTGCTGAATAATATTCAATTTTATGAAAACACAATTCGCTTATCTGCTCTTCTGTTCAGAAGCATTGAGGTTGTTTGCAATTTCTCTTATTACAAAGCCTCAGTGAGCATTCTTGCACTTTCCCTTGTGCGTCGATGCTAGAGTTCCTCCAAGGTATATACTTAGGAGGGAAATTGCTAGGTCAAAGGATGTGTTTAGCTTTCGCGTGACCGGTTATTGCCAAATTGCTTTACACAGTAGTCACACCAATTTCCCACTTTCCCTCTAATCCGTATCCTGACCAACACATACTACTTCCTGCCCATCTGACAGCTAATGGGTCTCATCCTCTTGGGTTCCACAGTGGATTCTCATAGCAATGGGCAGAGGTGGCACAGGAGTGTGTAGTGAAGCCCAGGAAGGGAATGCTGACCCCAACCCGGGCAGTGGTGGGCAGTCAGGAGCCAAATGAACCCAGATATTCATTCACCACCAAGGAGCCTGGATGCAGGGCCAGAACACAAAGCCTTTAGACTAAAAGCCATTCAAATAATTTGTACTATGCGGTAAATAGCAACTGTGCCTGCTCACAAAGGGCAAGATAATTACTCTTCACGGTGCTCTGTATTTCACAACACACTTGACACGAATTCCTCACCTGACTCTGACAATAACCCCATAAGGAAGATGCGGCTATTGCTGCTCCCGCTTTCCAGATAAGACAGGTGCGGCCCCTGGCTCCTCACTAGACTGCATCTGGAAACTGTTGCCTTTCGAGTGTGACATCCGCACGCATGCTTGGATGAGCATCTGAGAGTTGAGAATTCTCAGATGGAGATGGAGAATTCTCCATCTCTCCAGGTCCCCTGCAGAATTCTCCTGACTACTGATGCCATACCCCCACCAGCGAGCACTTACTCTCAGCACCAGAGCTGTGCCCCTGGAGTTGGCCACAGGACTATGCCCTGGTAGGTGAGGGCAAGAGGGGGAGGTGAGACTCTATCCTCTCCGAGCCTCATCTGAACAGGGGTGGTATCACCCACTTCCCAAGCAAGGGTGTGGGGACTGACCACAGAGACGCACCTCAAGTGCCAGGCACAGAGAAACACACAAGCCTTAGGCTTGGAGGGTGACTTCCGGCTGCTCAGGAGGGAGCGGGTCCTGGTGAGGAGGAGACGCACAGGATACCGATGTGGGAGATAGCCCACCCACCACGGAGGCTGAGGAGGGCTCCACTCTGAGGTACCAGCTTGTGGCATGAGCCACGGGACCAGAATCCAGTGGGGCTCCTGCAGGAGTGTCCAAAAGGGTCACTTGGGAGGTCCTGGCAAGTCTGCGTCTTCCTTTTTCTCACAAATGGAAAAGGACAGCCCGAGGGTTTGCTATGTGCTGCCACAGCTGACAGTGAGCAGACCAGGCCCTGCTTGCAAGGCCAGGCTGAGGCTGCCACACCGGGCGTGTTGGGTGGGGGGTAGGAAAGGGGCCAAACGTATATGAGGGACCTGTTTTGGATTCATGTCCATCTCAGAAGCCGTTGTGCGTGCTTTGGGAGGCAGCCCAAGGTGACCACCGTCCTTGGCATGAAGACTCATCATCAACACCTAGTTATCTAGCCGCGGCCAGAAGGTAGAAGAGGCGGTTCAGCAATCAGTTTGGCCTCTTTTTAGTTGGGTGAACTTCAACCTTTGTAAGCTTCTGTTTTCACAACTACACGACGGAGCTAAACCCCTTGTCCTACCTGCTGCGTAAGGCTTTAATCAAACGAGACAACATGCACGATAACGAATGGCCGGCCAAGTGAAGGCCATCAGGAGCTGAGGCTGTCTCCAGGGCAGGGGCAGGGTGGTGGAAGCGAGGGTGTGGCTGACTCTCCTGGGCAGGGACACATTTACCTGCACTGCTTGTTCTCTCCGTGATCTGCCTCGAACGCTCTCCAGTCCTTCCAGAAACTATACATGTGGCCTCACAGGCTTCCTATGTCCAGGAGGTGAGACACTCAATCACAGGAACAATCAAGTCAGCAGGCAACAGGTGGAGAGTCACCGGGCTTCAGAGGCAGAGTTCAAATACCAGCTTTGGCCTCACTCGCTGGGTGGCCTTGGATAAGTGGGTTACCCTCTCTGAGCCTCAGTGAAGTTGTAAAATGGGGAGAATGATGCCTATTGTACGCTGTTCGGAGAAGTAAATGAGACTATACATGTTCATCACCCAAAAAAACCTTCAGCCAATCATTGCAAGTTTAATCTTCCTGGGCCTGTAATTCCTCATCTGTGAATTGGGGACAATTGCTGCTCCCTGGAAAGGACCGTGTAGGAGGAGCAAGCACAGAATACAGCTCGTGAGTGGAAGCTCCATGAGCATGGGCCGAGGGCCTACAGCAGCTGTTCCAAACATTCTCCAACACGGCCCCCCAGAGGCCCAGTGCGCATGCCCAGCACCCCACTCCCTGGCAGACACCACAAGAGGCAGCTGAGTAAGTAAGAGTAACATTTACTGAGCGATACAGGACTGAGTACTATGAAGGGTTTACCAGGATGGAAATGCACCCCACCCCCGCCCCGGCCACCCCACACCCGGAGACTACAGTACTTAGGAGTTACACACAACGGCGATATCTGCTGAATATCTGTTCGTAACAAACAAACCATAGCATATTTATACTGTATCACATCGAGTGATTATAGAAATCCATATATATATTGCTTGTATAAAATCTTTTTTTTTGTAAAAAATATTAAAAAAAAAAAAAAAAAGAAAGTATAAAAAACATGTGCAGTTGAAAGCCCTGCCAGGACAGCCAGTCTGTAAACATTCAGTGAGTGTGTGCTTTGGAAGGGCGCCCGCGCCTCGTGCCCGCAGCAAACTCCAGCAGGGCCGGCGAGGGTGCGCCCCGGCTGCCGCTCCCGGCAGGGCCGCGCTGGACCGAGGTGGCTGGGCGGAGGGGTGCAGGGGGACCCCACACCGTGCCCCCTCCGGCCTCCGACAGGGTCAGGGTCAGGGCCGGCACAGGCAGATGGCAGTTTCACTTTGAGGTCCATCCTCAGCCACATTTTGGTTGCAGCTCATGGCTTTTCCTGGCTGCTCGGAGGTCCCTTGGGTGGACGCCCTGGAGGGGAGGCTGCCTGGCCGGGGATGGGGATCCCGCTGGCCTGGTGCCTCTGTCCCGCCTCCTTCAAGCTGGGCCCCAGGCAGGACGGCCCCTCCCATGGGTCTACTTTGGTCTCAGCGCTGGGTCCTTCTGGGTTTCCTCAGCCCGCTCTCCTCGTGTGGCTGATAAGAGTTTCACAAAATGCCCAGCAGGAGCTGGCCATGCTGAGCCTCGTGGGAAAGTTTTTCCATGCACCAAGGAAAGGCCCTCGGGGACCCCTCCTCCTCCTCCTCCTGCGCCTCCTCCCAGTCCCTGGTCACTTCTTCTCCAGCTGCTCCAGCAGCGGGTTGCCTTCTGACTCCGGGGTCTTGACGCTGTCGGTCCGGACGATGCAGGTGGGGCGGTGGCGGTTCAGCATCAGGATGAGCTGCTGCCGCTCCTGCTTCAGCTCCTCGATCTGGGTCTTCAGCTCCGCGTTCATGAGTTCCAGCCGCTCAGATTCCTGTCACAAACACAGAGGCGGGATTGTAAGCTCTCACTGGGGACAGCTCTAGGAGGGGGTCTGCCTCTGGTGGGGGGGGGGGGGCAGGGCTCTCCAGGCTGGCATCGGTGAGGTTCCCACTGAGGAATCTGCTGAGTCCCCCAGAGACCCGACTTTCTAGAGGAGGTCACACGAGCCTATGTCTTCCGGAGGGCTGAACCCAGGTTACATCCTGAGGCCAACCTGGCTCCTGTCCCGCCTCCCTCTCTTCTCCATCAATCCACTCCATCCACAGTGGCTTCTCTTGCCATTGCTCAAATATGCCACATTCCTCTGCCTCAGGGCCTTTGCACAAGAAACAAAGGGTGGGAGAAGATGGAGTCCAGGTTCTTGGAGGGTCCACAGTGGGGAGAGGGGAGGCCCAGGGATGGCAGTACAAGGGCAAAGTGCTGTGATGTGTGATAAATGCCTGGACTGGACATTCTGGCCTGTGAGAACAACATTTTCAGTGTGGGCATGTAATTCCTCCTAAAACACATGCTTCCTGATTATCATCAGTCTATAATTATTTAAACAGCCTCTTCCATACCCCCTTGTCACCCAGAAGCTCGCCCATTAGGAGGGAAACAACAGTTATCCTTCTGGATCCAAAACAAGATTCCAAACAGCCCTCAGGTGAGATTCCCAAGGAACCTGCAGCCTGGCTGGAGAGGCTCCAGGGAAGAAGGAAGGAGAGTTGCTGACGGGATCCCCAGGGGGTTACATGTCCCCGCAGACGGCAGGGATGGGCACACTCATTCAACACCCAGGGGTCAAAACAGCAAAATAGAAAAGCGTCTGAATGACTTTTCTCGGACTGTTTTTAAAAACTTATAACCACGTTGGGATCTGGAGTTAGTTCGATGTCCGGCATTTAGACCAGTGGTTCTGAACTAGGAGCAGTTTTGCTTCCCAACAGACACTGACGAGGGCTGGAGACATTTCTGGCTGTGGTTGCTGGCAGCGGGGCCCACACACATTCCAGGCTGGACCCCGAGGTAGCAGCAGGAGCACCGGGGACCAGAGCTGCTGAGACCTGCAGTCCTGTCCAGACATCGAGGGAGGACAGTCTCATAAAAGGAAAAAAAGAGCTCGAGGGAAGAAAACATTAAGAAACTAGTTATGGTGGCTTTTAGTTCAACAGGACGAGGCCTGACAGGAAGGCAGGCCTGGCCCACTGTTGTGGAAACCTGACAGAAGTCCACCTCTGAGGGCAGAGGAGACCCCGTGTGAAACTGTGAGCTGTGACCCCTGCCTGGAGCAGGTAGGTGCCAGTCCTAGCTGCTTGCTGAGAGCTGGCAGCCTGGGAACTTTTTGAGCATCTGAACAACCCCTGACCCCCCAATGCCCCTCACCCCACCCCACCCCAAAGCTTTCAACTCCATCTTTAAATCCTCTTAAAGCCTCTGCCTCTAGGAGTCTCAGTTCAATCCACACATCTGTGAATATTTGCTGTGGGCCTGCCATGGACAATGGCTGCTCAGGAGACTGAGCCCCACAAGTTCCCCACTCAGCTCTAGGCAGCCAGCACGATGAGGGGAGGACAGGAAGAGGGACCTGCACAGCAGGGCACGTTTGCTCTGTGCCCGCAGTCACCCACGGTCTTAAAGGCCTCCAAGAAACCAGAAGGCCAGGCTTGACCTTGGATTGGAAAGATGGGTTGATCCTGGCCAGGTAAAGGAGGTCAGGGGTGGAGTGGGGGCGATGTCAAAGCAGGGAGCCCGCGTGAGTAAGGACACAGAGGCAGGAAAGCGGGGGACATGCCCAGGAGGTGAAAAACCTCCATTCCGGATGTGGATGTCTCAGGTCCGAAGCTGGGAAGGAGCGTTTAGAGCCAGACCGGGAAGTGCTCTAGGGCTTGCAACTGGAGGCCAGAGCAAGTTTAACTTCTCCCGCTCACTTATCTCATCTGCAGAAAGATGATGATTGTGGGGTTAAGTGAACTCCTGTGGGAAAAGCATTTTGTAAACCGAAGCATTAGGGAGGCTTAAAGACTCCTTACTTTAATCTCCGAGCAAGAGAGTAAGGAGAAGGGGACGTGGCCTTTCTAGAGAGGACGTGGTGGCTGCCTGGATCTGGAGAATGGAGAGAGGGAGGCGCTGCCCCCTGCTTGAGGGAGCAGCTGAAGGCTGGGAAGAGGGAGGGAGGGGAAGGAAGGAGGTGGGGTGCAGACACAGTGCGTGGAAGTCAAAACCGGACATTGGGGGCAGGACAGGCAGCACTTGACCTTGAAACGAATTCATGTTGAGTGCCCCCACCCTTGTGCCTTTGCACCGCTGAGCCTTGTAAATATTTTACTTATTAAAAACTAAATTATGGGGGCCTCCCCAGTGGTGCAGCAGGTTGAGCGCCGCACTGGGAAGCTGTCCGCAGCCTCTGCAGCGCAGGTTTGATTCCGGCCCACCCGCGAGAATCCCACATGGCACGGCAGACCTCTCCTGTTGCGCCCGCTGCTCCCCTCAGCAGTGCTTTTGGTCTGTCTGTTCTGCTCCCCGCTCTGTCTCTGGTGAGTCCTCTCACCCTCCCGTGCCTCTGGCCTGTACCCCAGCTATTGCATAAATAAAAAATAAACATTTTTTTTTTTAAAAGCCTCAACACTACTCAGAATGACTTCATTAAAAAAAAAAAAAAAAAAAAAAAAAACCTAAATTATGAAAGAATCCTCCAGGTCTGCAGACAACACAGCCACCTGCACTTGTGCCAGAAAACTCACACTGACTTCTGCCTCCAAGGCCAGAGGGGAGGAAGAGCATGAGGGACCCGGCTGGGCCTGGACAGACCTGCCCACACCTCCCTCTAGGCCCAAGGCCACCCACGCCTCCTCGTCCTCACAGATGCCTTCTTCTCCCACCAGGACACATAACAGCCATACAACCACTCGTCCTGCTCTGTTCTGGGCCCCCCAATTCATGTCCCCTACCCCAATCCATGCCCCAGCCTGGCGTCTGAGGCATCTTTTAAAGCTGTGCTTCTCTCCTGAAACCCTTCATGGCGCTCCAGGACCACGTCACTGTAACAGGACTCTTGTGAGAGTAAAGGAAGGTGCTAGGCCAGGACGCCAGGCACCGACTGGGCTCGCCCAGACAACCCAGCACGGAGGGTCACTAACGCATTCACGTCCACATTAATCCCATCCTTAAACTGCTCTGGCCTCTGTTCGCCTGTTCCTGGTAAGCCCCTCCACCCCGGGCCTTCATCTTCTTGGCTCCCACTCCTCTGTGATGTCTCAACAGGCAGTGTTGCCTCAGCGCAGCCCAGGACGGGGCCCCTCTGTATGTTCTCACAGCTCGCAGGGCTTGCCCAACAGAGCACCGAGCACACGTTACCACTCCTCGCTTCCCGCCTTCCGCGCTGGCCCATCCCGCTGGCACTCCCTGAGCACCTGCTGGAGGACAGAGGGACCAGCAAAGGGATGAATGCATCTGCTCCACCTCCCCCAGCTCCAGGTCAATGTCCGAAATGGGGATAACCTATGTTGATCTCACAGGAACATTGTAAGATCAAAGGAGACACTGACAGGTGCAGCACTCAGTAGGTATTACTGGACGGCGAGGAGCAGCTAGCGCCATTCATTCATCTGGCTCTAGCCTTTCCTGTGCTCATGCGGCACTGGCACCTCCTGCCTGCTAACTGGACGGCAGGGATCTGATGTGAGACTTCTCTGTTCCTGGCTATGCCTCGCCCAGCTCTGCCCACGACAGGCATTCAGGCTGGAAATGAGGTATGTGACACTCCATCCATCTGAAAGGCCTACGTGACACCTGTGTCTTAGAAACTTCTTGAAAACTTCCAGCCCAATGTTGGGCCACCATTTCTTCTAGGAGGCCCCCAGCTCTAGAAGTCTAGCTACCCCCATAGCGGCCATTCCCTTGCCCTTGAGGTTCATAGTCGGTGGTATACTCAAAGCCCCAGGCTGCCCCCATCTGTGACCTCACGGTGGCATTCAGCTTGTTCCAAGCATGAGGAGAGGCCCCCAGACCCCCCAGTGTCAGAGACATTCAAGCCATCCCAGCCTCATCGCTGCAGCTCCCATGGGAGGCACCACGGCCCTCCTTCCTGTGCGTCTCTCCGTCTACCTAGCTCAGATCTGGGTGTTCAGTACAGGCTTAAAGATACTTGTCAACAACTCAACAGATGAGCAAGAGAATGAATGAACAAACAGAGGAAGAAGGAGTAAATGAATGAGAACTAGTATAGCAGAGTATTGAGAACAAGCACTTTGAAGTTAACCTCAGGCTCACATCTCAGTTTTACCACTTAGTTGCTGAGGGATCTGGGCAAATTACTTAACCTCAACATGCCTAGTGTCCCCCTATCTGCAGAAAGAATAATGAAAGGCATCTCCCCGCTTCAGTTACTATGCCAATAAAATGAGATAATGCACAATACACACAACCCTTAGCACAGTGCCCAACTTTACAAATGTTAGCAACTATTGGTTACCACCTGCTAGAACAGGGCCTGACCTGTTACATTATTATTATTATGTATTATTACGTATGGTTACTGTTATTATTTAGTAATGAACAAGATTGGGGGCGGGTAGGAAGGAGCTTTCTGACATGACTAATTGGCTTTGTGCTCATGTTCCTTCACTGCCATCTATTATTTTTCGAGAAGCAGGGAAGGCCTACGAGACTGGACTCAGGCCTGCCTGGTACATCCCCCTGTGAAAAGGCAGGGACCTGTTCTGAAGGCCAGGAGAAAAGGCACCTTCTGCTGGCTTTTGCACGCAGAACTGATCTCTGCTTCCAGCGGCAGCACCAGAGCCCTGGGGTCATCGGCAGGGGGCTGAGGGGCTGGCTGGCTGGGATGCAGGCCTGGCAGAGCCTGCTGCAGCTAAGAGGGAGCTTTTCTCTGTCGAGGTGTGCTGCGTCCACTCCCCACGTGCTTGGCGTCACCATCAGCTTCATTAGCACCCACCTTGGACAGCTTTGGTACCAAATAGGTAGCCCCAGTCCTGGGTCATCTGGGACAATCAGCACCAGGGGTCTAACCCTCAAGGGAATTTGGCTGTACCTTCTCTGATCCGGGCGAGCAGCACTGGCTGCAGGCTGCCCTGGGCTGTCTTGCTTCAGGAGGGGGCATTATGGAGGCAGGGAAGAGCAGAGGGGTCTGGGCCGCTTGGGCGGCGGGGGCATCAACTCTGTGGCCTTTGGTGACATCTGCTCCGCAAGAGCCAGAGCCCACCCCAGAGACCAAAGCAGGCCCTGCCCTGGCCAGCGGCCCCGACCGCTCACCCGCTGCAGAAACTCCGTCCGCTCTTTCTTCTTGTTCCGACATCGGGCCGCCGCCACTTTGTTCTTCTCCCGGCGTCTTTTCCTTCGCTCTTCTTCCTCGTCTAGCTGCGAGAGCAAAGAGCCGCTGATTAGACACTGAGGCAGGCTTGGGGCACAGCTTCCCTCCTGACACACCCTCCTCTCAGCAAGGAACCAGCTGGTCCGTTCCCTGTCCATGTCCGCCAGCCTCCGGGCTTGGTGATGGCACATCCCCAGCCAGCCCTGGGGCCCTCCCTAGCAGCTGGGCATCCCTGGGTGGAGAGAGTGTCCCGGGAGGCAGGAGCCTGGAGTGTCTATTGACACGGAGGTGGCACGCTCCAGGAGTGATGACGTTCTGTTCTCCTGCCCAGCCCAAGCCCTCTGACCAGTATTTTCCAGGCCAGCAGATCCCAGGCACTTCCTTTAAAAGTGCCTTGGGCACAGACACAGAGTTCACATTCTGCCCCCACCCACTTTCACCTCCCTGAGGTGCCCACACCCTCCCTCTGGCTCCTTCCCAGGCTCCATCTCCCAGGGCTACTAACCTGACTCCCCAGCCTCCTGACCTGCCTTTAGTCCTTTCCCTGCCTCTATGTGTTTTGCCCTCAAGAGACCCACCTGTAGCTCAGGATCCCAGGGGCCCCCTCAAGTGCTCTGCCTGGGACACAAGCAGAGGAGCCTCCTGGCTTCTCCCCTAGGACACATTAGTAAATTTACCACACATAAATAGGGCCCATGAAATGGAAAGGCAGAAACTCGCTGCACCCTGACACTGACGATTGATCAAAATTGCAGTTATTGCGCCAACACTGTCCCGTGTTCCAGATGGTGAGACTGAGGCTCATCAGTCAACCTGCCCAAGGCCACACTATTAGGAAATGACCCAGCCAGGATTCCAACTCAGATTTCTCTGCTTCAAACTTCCTGCTCTTGACCTCTGGCCCACACAGCCCCAGTCCACTGGGATCACTTTGATCTGGTGCCTCCTGCTGCCCATTACCTGCCAGGAGAATCGGAAGGACACACAGGACCAGCTGGGCTGGGGACAGCCTAGAGTCAGAGGCCACTAGAAAAGTTGTTGGATTGCCCTGGACTTGCCAACTCTCTCACTTCTCGAGCCAGTAAGGGTGATTCTGGCTGCCCGAGACCTGGAACAAGGTCTCAGCTCAAAGGCTTCGGGCCAGGAAAATAAACAGCCTTTCTCCATGCACTCCCAGCATGCTCTAGGGGCTGAGGGTGGAGGGCCTGGGCCACAGACCTGCAGCCATGGCCACCAGCACAGGCCCTGTAGGTCTGCACTGAGCTTCTCCCTGACCCACTCCCACCCCGTCTGGGAGGCTGGCTGACTGGTTGGAGAGGTGCCTTGTCAACACTGCCGCACCCAAGCACCTCCCAGCCCCTTGGCCTCCTTTGAAACAGAACCAGAAGTGACAGCTCCTCTGGCTGACCTGCAACTGGGAAAATAGAAACCTGGGCAAAATTGATTCCGCCCAACCTCAACTTCACCCCCAACAAGGACGGAGTATCTGTGACGACAGGCAGAGGGAAGGAACTGGAGGAAGTGGCTGGCAGTGCAATCTCCCCTCAGCCAAGAGGGTTTGCCCACAAACTGCCAAGGTGATGTGTGCAACCTGGGCACTGCCAGCTCACAGGGCCTCTGGCGCCTCCCCCAGAGCAACTCTGGGGCTCTGCAGAACTGCTGTTTCCCAGGAGACAAACCTCTGTCCTCTAAGACCCAGCTCCTGACCTCCACCTCTGCACAGGGCCTCATCCAACACAAAGGGGGAGTGGGAAGCACATGGGAGCTGCTGTAGCTGCAGATGCACAGAGACCCAATAACAACTGAGCCAGGCTGAACTGGACAGCAGCTGCTCTACCCACCCTTGCCAGCTACATCAGTCCCCTCTTCAAATTCAGCATCTCACCTGTCTTCCAGTCAGGCCCTCCTGAGATGACTTCCTGTACCACCTGCTAAATTCTTATTCAACCTTCAAGTGTAAAAAGTCACCTCCTCCAGGAAGGCTCCTTTAATGTCTCAGCTAAAATTAACTGGTTTTTTTCTGTGCTACTACAGCACAGTGCGAACTATCAATTCCCACTGCAATTGTGTTTATGTAAGTGCCTCTTAGGCTGTAGGGCATAGAGCATGGCACTTTGTAGAGGCTCAGCAAATGTTAGTCAAAAGAATGAACAGAACAAAGGATTCTGGAAAAAAAGATGCCACAGACTTGGACTCTATAATTCTAAAAGTCAAGTACTGCCTCTATTTCCACCTGCATAGCCTTTCCCCCAGCCTGCATCAGGAGTCTTTTCTGCCAAGAACGGCCTCCTGTCTGTCTGCAGAAAGTCAGCAAAGCTTGGGAACGGGGTCCTACCTTCCCCAGAAGTGCACAAGCTGAAGGCACAGTTTGGATTTGGGGCACAGGCCCCCGGTGGCTATGGCAGGGCCACATGCATTCTAAGCAGGCCCTGAAAGAATCCAGCTGTGGGCACTTAAACTTAAAGCCCTGCACCCCAGCCCCCACCAATTTCCAGTCCACCCCAGCCCTTTCCTGCACAGGTGCCTGCCTCAGCTCCCATCTCCCAGTAAGCAAGAAATGACCCCACCATCCCATCACCACACCTTCCCCACTGCAACTGCCACATCACCCCCAAATCTTCCTGCTTTTAAGAGCCTCCTGGAGGAGATGCAGAAAACAGCTGCTGAGGTTTTGTTGGAAAGACAGGAGGGGCCTCCCTGGTGGCGCAAGGGGTTAATCTATGAAGCTGTCAGCCTCTGCAGCACGAGTTCGATCCCCGGCCAGGGAGCTACTCACATGGCGCAGCAGACCTCTCCTGTCTTGCCCGCTGCTCCCCTCAGCAGTGTATTTCATCATTCTGCCTGTTCTGTTCCCCACTCTGTCTCTGGTGGATCCTCTCACCCCCCACACATCTGGCCTGTGCCCCAGTTCTTGTATGATTACATAAATAAATCTTAAAAAAAAAAAAGAAAAGAAAAGTAAGAAGACAGGAGCTGAGCAGTATCCCTCAGCCTTCTTCACGTGATCTCACAGGCCAGCTGTGACTCCTTCTGCCAAGGCCTGTGTGGTCTACACTCTGCTCCTCCCCCGACTCCAGGATGGACAGGAGACTCCTCCCATGTCTCCCAGAGACTTGCTTTTATCTCCCTAGTCAAGGCTGCTGCCCCCCACCCCGTGCTCCCAGACTCTTTAAAGCCTCTGACCACAGTGGGTAAGAGGCAGCAAAGCGGGTTTTCACCACACACGCCTCAGACAGCGAAAACCAGAACCCCAAAATGGGAGCTGATCATTTTTTCTGCAGATTTAGCTGGAAGAATCACATATTGGAGGAGGCAGCAGCTTGACACTTAATACATCTAAAGACTCAGAGAGGCGGGCTGGGGCTGCCAGGAAGCCAGCCTTCTCCTGTTCTCAAACTTAGTTCTGGCTCTGTTTTCCCCAGTCCCCCAGGAAGGCCGAGGGCAATGCTGGCTGTGTTCTGGCAGTGAGTCTGCCCTGTGCCATCCTTCCCATCAGAGGAACAGCCCTGGGGACCCACCACCAAACGGACCTCATGTTGAGAGGTCCCTCCTCAGAAAGCCTGTTCTCAAGCCCCTGCGTGCATCTGGGGAACCCCTGCCCTGGGCCAGCACTGACTGCACAAGGTGTGAATGGCTGACCTGCGCCGGGCTGTAGTGACCTCCTGGAAATCTGAAATTGTACTGCTGAAGGGGGGTGGGGGGGTGGAGGGGATGTGGAGGGGGGAGTGGAGTGGAGGGAGAGGTGCAGGCAGGACCTGGCAGCCATGCGCCCAGAGAAGAAGGATCAGCGTGAAGCTGAACAGACATCAGAGACGAGGCAGCAAGAGAGAAACAGGCCCTCAGCTCCAAGAGGGAGTCAGAGAGACAGAGCAGAGGAAAAGGTAATAGAGCAAAAATCAGGGCCCGGCCCAGGGTGACTGAAGCCAGTGGTCCAGGGCAGACACCTGAGGAAACATTCACTCTCTCAGCTCATGCAAAGGCAGGGCTGGCACCCCATGAATCCTGCATCATGCCTGCCGCACCTTGGTCCAGAGATGGGGGAGGGAGGGAGGGAGGGAGGGAGGGGGAGGAAGAGAGTTAGAGAGAGGACTTGAGACCGAGAGAAGCAAACACAGATGGAGACAGAAACACAGAGAGACAAAGGCAGGTGGGAGAGACAAGGAGAAAGAGGCAGAGAAAGCGGCACAAAGGGACAGAGGCTGACGGGGCAGGCAGTGGACAGTGGATGCACCGAGACAGAAACAGCCTTGGTCCTCCTGATTGGCCCCTGGAGAGGCCTGTGCGCCCTGTCCTTGGGTCCGTGGTGGAGACCCTGAGTCTGACCTGAACACCCTGGAGGGAGTCCGAGAGGTTTTTGCTCCCTTCAGTGAGAGATGCCCAGGACCCCTGGGTGCTGGCCTTTTTGACTGATGCCAGGCGATAATGGAGGAGCAGAGACTGGCCCCCCAGTGACCCAGCAGAGAAGCGCTACCCAGGGGCGACACATCCAGAACAACTGGGCACGTGGCAGAGCCTCGGTGGCATCAAATGCCCTGGCTTAGGAGCCCCCCAGGCTGAGCGGTGTCAGTAGACCTCCCAGGACAGTCCCGCTACCCCCACTTTCCAGATGAGGAAACTGAAAATATCAAGGCTGCCTGGAAGCTCAGTGACAGCTTCCAACCCAGGCCTCTCAGGCCCGCGGCCAAGCACTTCCTGCTGTCGGAAGTGGGGTGCTCTGTGTACCCCCCCACATGGTAACAGACCCCCTTCTCAGCTACTTCCTAGTGACCAGTCTGTAAAGCAGCAGCAGAAATTTCCGACGCTGAGGTCAATGGCCGTTCTGTGCTTTCTGATTTCTAAAAAACGATTTCTAGCACAACAATGTGCGGCGGCAAAGCTACGGGTAGAGCTGGGGCCCGGGCAGCTGCTTTCTGGCCTCGCCCCCCAGCACGGCGCCCCCGTCTGCAGGCCGAGCGTGGCTGCGTGCGGCGAGGGAAGCCCGGGTGTGATTTTGAATTCTGACTTTTCACAAGCATTTTCAAAACTCTATCTTGCAGGACCCACGAGGAGCGAGAAGAGGAAGAGCAATGACACTTTTTAACCCAGGGCGGTGGAAATACAGACACTCTCCCAAGGGTGAAGTAATACAGAAGAGATCAGTAAGGGAGACGAGAAGTAGACGGGGGGGGGGGGGGGGGGGGAACGACAAAACCAATGCCAGGCACAAACGCAAGGCAAAGAACTGAGAAGCGTCATGGCTTCTGCAAGCTGGCATGTGGGCAGGGAGCCGCCGGCTCTGCTGGGGCAGGGCTGTGCGCGTGGGCTTGGGTCTGAAGGCCCCGGGGCCCCAGCAGCTCAGCTCCAAATTAGCTGTGAGTTCTCAGGCAAGTCCCTCAACCTCTGCCCCTTACTTGCATGAGGAAGGCCCTGGTCCTTGCCTTGCAGGGGGTGATGAGGGCTCGGTCACAGCACGGAGCCTGGAACACAGGGAGGGCTCCCCAAGCACCAGCATCCCACCTGCCTTCCCAGGTGAGGCAGGGAAGTCGCGGGGTGGGGGTGGGGGGGTGGTGCCCAGGGCCCACCCAGCCTCCTGTGAGGCAGAACCTGCCCTAGAAAGGGAGAGGAGGAAGCAGGGTGGGGTGCCTCGGGCCACGAGGGCCCTCATGAGCAGAGTATCATTCACCCAGGGGTTGAGAGCAGCAAGCCCAGCCCCCTGGGGTGCCTCCCCACCCCTCCATCCCCACCCCAGTGCCACACGGAGGAGCCACATTTCAACACCAGGGACCCATGAGCACCCTGGGAAGTAAACACCCAAATACCAAACATACCAGACATTCCCCCACATAAACACGGCAGCACTGAGCCAGGGGCTGCTGTCCTGCCCGCTCTCCCTCCCCCTCCCCCAGCAACAAAGTAGTCCAGGGGCAAGACCTCCATGGCCAGTTGAGCTGGGGAGCTGGGCACACAATCCCTCCCCGCTGCCTCCTCCCACCCACACAAGGAGGAATGAGGAAATCCCAGGGGCCCTGGTCCTAGAGCCTGCTGCCCCCTGCAGCCCTCTGGGCCAGGCCCTTCCCACCAACATCTCCCCCAGGGGCTGAGCTGATGGAAATGGCGTGCCCTCCTCTCTCCCCCATCTTCTCGAGCCAGGCCCTCGCACTCCAGAAAGCCAAGGTCTGGACCTCAGCTGTGAAACACTGGACTATTTGGGGGGAATAGTCGGCAGGGCTGTAAAAGAAAATTCAAGACAAATGGTCAGTCTAAGGCTGGACTTGCAAACACAGGTCACCTACGGGCACCCAGCAATGAATCAGGAGGGAGGGAGGGATGGGGCTGTGGCTCGCACAGGGGACACCCCAATCAGCCCAGGCAGCCACAGGGCAGGCACAGCGTTGCCAAATTTTCCAAGTTTTCAAGAGTTAACTGAAAATATGAATTTTTAAGTAAAATATCCTAATTTTTAATGCCGGCCACAAATCCTATTTTGGAAAGAAAACTTGTGTGAGCCAAACAAAACACAACTATGGGCTGTAGGGGCCCGTGGGCTGCTAAGTGATGACCCCTGGAAGGCGACAGACCTGGCAGGGCTGGTCACTACTCTTGGTCATAGTGACCTCCATGTCCTACTCTGTGACCTTGGGGCAATCATGTCATCTATTTGTGCCTCACCATCCATAAACAAAATAGCTCCTGCTTCTCACTAATCTTCAAACACTTCCGCAGGGTGGGCATTGGGGGTCTCAATGAGGAAACTGAGGTTCAGTAAGGTACAGTGTCTTTCAGAGGTTGTCAAACTAGGAAAAAAATGGGGATTTGACTCCATCCTATCAGTCTGCCTGCCACCGGGTGGGTGGACTGACTACAGTCTCCCCAAAGCCCCATCTTGTTCTAACTTCCCTGGGCTTTTATTTACCTGAACTTCAGGGGCAGTGCTGACTGGCTTGATGACAGGAAGAGGGGAAAGCTGCAGGAAGGACATCTCCCTCCATTTAAGAGTTTCAGAAATGTCAATTCACAGACTCCAAGAGTCAGAAGGGGTTCCTGGCAGGCATCTAGGCCGATCACTAGATTCCAGAGGAGGAAGGCAAGGCCCAAGGAAGTGAATTGCTCTGACCAAGGCTCAGAATTGAGTCCTAGTGAACAATGCAAAGGCTACCACTTGGTCGGAACCCTGGGCCTCCTGGTGTCACCTGTACATCACTCCCTCTTTCTACAATGTTCTACACCCAGGATGCAGGCACTGACCTTGTTTATTCTCCTCCTGCTTCTCTGACCTCTCTGTCTCCTCCCAGACCTCTGTCCCTCCTTTTCAAGCTGCCATCTTTCAGGGTCATGTCCTTGCTCTGCAGCTTTCCTCACTCCATTTAGGAAACACCTATGGATCATCGTGGTCATGGCCTCCACTGCCACCTGTACTCAAATGCCACCAAATCTTGCCTTCCAGGCCCAGACATCCAACTGCCCACCGCATGCACAAGCCAGATGGCTCTCAACCTTCAAAGTCTTTATCCTCATTCAGTAGGTTATTTCATCTCTCCTGTCCACCTCCACCCTCCCAAATGGTTCCTTCCCACGGTTCAGGCACTTTCCCAATCTTTCTCTCTCCCTCTCTCCTGGACGGACCACCTCCTTCGAGGCCTCCTAATCCTACACAAACATCCCCCATCTCAGTCATCAGAAGGATCTTTCTACAATGCATATATAACAGCAGTTGCTGATCTGTGAGGAGCTTCTCATTACACTCAGAACAAAGCCTAAGTTCTTTAATGTGTCAAGCAAAGTTCCTATGACTTGGGCCCACCTCCCTCTGGTCTTACCGCCCATCTATCCCTACTCCATGCAGGAACTCTGTTCCTACAACTGAGATTCCACATACCTCCCACTTTTCTGGCGTCATGCTTTTGGCACTGCTGTTCCCTTGGGTTACTCTCCTTCTATACATTCTACTTGAGATCACCTCCAACAGGAAGTCCTCCCTGATTCTCATGCCCTCCAGTTACCCTTGGGGCTCCCACAGAACCCTGCATTTATCCTGACCCTCATTGTACTGTATTCTCTCCTCAGTTTCTATCTCCTCCACTAAACTGGGAGTTGCATGAGAGCAAAGTCCATGTGCTGTTGACTTTTTGTGGACTCAGCCCCTTGAAGTTTATGGCCATTAGTAGCACACAATAAACATTTGCTAGAGGAAGACCTGAACCACAGAGCTGGCAACCTGGACAGAACTCAGGACTCCTGACTCCCAGTTCGGTGCCCTTTACACACACACAAACACATACACACACACCCCACAGCAGGTTACAATCAAACACATTCACACATTCACCCATGAACCAGCCCACATACTGGCTACTGTGCTCACTCAGAGCATCAAACCAGCCCAGTAAACAACCAGGTGAAAGCTCTGAATAAGAACTGGCAGAGACCACAGCTCCCCCTGCCAAGAATATTCACTCAGTTCTCCTGGCTGGGGGTGCAGGTAGATAAGCAATTGCTGCCTGCACACGACATCTGCAGGAAATGGTGGGGAGCAGCGGGGCTGTAAACTAGGATCCATCCTGAGCTTCCAGAACTAGAGATCCAGGATGCCAGGCATCCACAGGCCAGGTAGCTCAAGTTCACAGAAGCACAGTGAGTGCTGAGGTCAGATGGGGCAGGACTAATCAGGACACCGCTGCTTTCTGGGGTGAACTAAGAGCCCCGTGCTGGGGTCAGCGCCCACAGGGGGATCCCTCTGAACCCACTTCTGTCTCCTCACATCTCAGCATTTCCCTGACCTTGGCCCTCCCAATATACCTGTCCTCAGTGAAAACCTTTTCCTGTGCTAAGCGAACCCATGAAACAATAGGCTGCTGTGGTAAGGGGCTGGTTGATGTGAACAGAACAGGGAAGAGCCATTCTCTCAGAAGGCAGTGGAGAAAAGCCATTTCCACTGCTAAGAAAAGACAGCATTGTGTTTGGAACAAAGCCTGAAAAGGCTGGCTGGGCGGGGTGACCCCCATTCGTGGACAGTCCTAAAAACACTATTACTACAAAAGTGCGACTGAGTTCAGGAGACAGGAAAAATCACCTTGGCACAGGCAGAAACCCTCACATGGGAGGGCACAGGGGACAATCATTGCCGGGAAATCCCTTTGCTAGAAGAGGTACTGGAAAAAGAGGTCTTTCATTGAAATATGCTGCTGTGGGGCAACCAGGCGCAGGACGAGAAGGGGCGCCGGGGGGCAGGAGGCAAGCAGGTAGGCCAGGTAGGGCTGTCTCTGTTGTTCTCTTGTGGCATGGCCTCACCTCTTCTGGTATGCCACTTGTCCTCCTCGTAGCTGTCACCTGGTTGAGTGACGTCGCCCTTACACGCCTGACCTGTAGGCTCAGGTGTGCACACTTATGTATGGCCACACCTAGACTCCAGGTGTCCATCAGGCTTGCGTGCCCCACACCCAGGCCCAAGCAACTACTGCATTAACACCATCCAGGCCACAGGTGATAGGCAGAGGCTCGTGGCATAAAAAGCCTGATTTATTCATTTACCCTACAAATGATTACTTCAGGTCTGCTTATTTATGGTTTAGTGAAGCCTGCTTTCCTATTCGACTATCAATTACTTTCTTGCCCAGTTGACAATCACTTCCAAAGATGCCAAGGGCCTCCCTGACAGCGCTATCAAGCTATAGCCAGCCACGGTCCCCAGCCGTCCAGGGAGCAACCTACATGGCCCAGCAGACCTCTCCTGCCTCGCCTGCTGCTTCCCTCAGAAATGTATTTCAGTAATCTGCCTGTTCTGCCCCCCACTCTGTCTTTGGTGAATCCTCTCAACCCCCGCACCTCTGGCCTACACCCCAGTTCTTGTATGCATACATAAATCTTTAAAAAAAAAAAAAACAACACAGAGATGAGAAAAGTAGAGAAACAGTAGCCTCCACAAAATCATTCCCCGCTCCCCCAAAATGGTGAGGAACAAATCTGGCAGGAAAAAAATCAGGTTTCTTCTTAAAAGGAGTTAAGGACACAGCCGAAATTGATTCTTTAACAGCAAGAAGCAGCTACTACGCCTTGATGACCTGGGGGGTTGGGGGGAGACAAAAATTCAGAGACAAGCCCCCCCCCTGAAAAACCACTATCTACAATGAAATGAAAACGCAGTTGTTGCAAAGAATATTTA